ATTTCTGATTTCAGTGTTCTTACTTTCTCAAAAATCCTCTCAATCTTTTTCACAAAAACCTCGTGTGAACATGGCTTCTTCCAGCATTCCTTCTTCAGGTTCCCAGAAAACTGTTTCATATGAGCAATATGAAGAACCTTACATAACGCTTCTAACACCAGTAAAAAACCTAGAGGTTCTATCAGAATTAATCGTTGATTTCAACAGTCTCAAAGAAAATGGGTTTGATCTATCTGAAGAGGTTAAAGCTCAAGGTTGGGAAAAGTATTTTGACAGACTGGTGGGTCCAACATTTCCTATTCTGGTAAAGGAATTTTGGATTCACGCTTCTTCTTCAAATCATCAGGTCACTTCATATATCATGGGGAAGAAGATTGTTATTACTGAAGACCTCATTGCACGTCTGATAGGATACAATGGTGGTGGTGTTCGTTGCATTGATATGGCCGAAAGGTGTGCTGATGCTGCCCTAATTGCAAGGGAAATCTTTACTTTGGGGCTTCCCTCCAGCAAGATAAGGGATTTGAAAGACAAACACAGAATTTGGGCCAAGATCATTCTGGACTGCTTCAACCACAAGAAGCCTACCAGCTCTCCTGATTACATTAATATTGATCAGCAGTTTCTGATCTATTTCATCTCTCAGAAGGTCAAGATAAATCTGGCTCATCTTCTGTTCAACCATCTCAGAACAAGTGTTAAAGAAATAAGAGAAGAGGAACGTACAAAAAGGGATTGGATACCCTTAGGAAGACTGATATCAGATATTCTGACAGAGAATAAGCTGATTGATCATCTGACAGAGGCTCAAGAAATCAGCACTCTGGAAGCTACTGTTGGCAAACAGCTGAATGCCAAAAATCTGAAGAAGATGAAGTTGATAGAGAACATCAAGAAGGAGCCCAACGTCACTCCTTTTGCTGAAATCTCCAGCAGAAGAGCCCACCTGGATGACTTCCCACTGTTCTCAGAAATTGACTCTAAACCTGAAATCATTCTGAGATATCTGGATGCTTGTAAAGCTGATGGTACAACACCAAATCTGAATATTCAAGATCTTCAGTAGAAAGCTCCAGAGGTTGTTCTGAAGAAGACAAAGAAAAGAAAAGCTGCTGCAGAAGGATCATCTCAACAGACTCCCAAGAAGAGAGGTAATCCTTCTTCTGTAACTGTTTTAGATTCAATTGCTATATCAACATCTATCCCAATACCCACTCCATTTGAAAACCCAACACCTCAAACTTTCGATGATTTTGACCTTGACTTTGACCCTTATGAATCATTAACTCTCAGAAGATCTCGCTCCCAACCACAAAATCCAAATACTGAAGCCATACCAGAACAATAACTTGCACAAGTTCTTTCTGATATAGACCAACACACTTCTGCTTTCGAAACAGAAAATCCAAATCAAAACACAGAACCACAACCAGAAATTCCCCTCTCACCAATACCAGAAATTCCACTCTCTCCAGAACCAGAAATCCCACAATCTTCATCTCCTCAACCAGAAATTAATCCACCCTCTCCTCAACCTGAACAATCTCCACAACCTGAGATTCAAACCTCTGAGGCTCAACACTCTGAATCCCCTGAACCACAACCTCTGGCCATTCAATTGCCCTTTGGCACCATTGTGAATATTCCTCAACTTCCCTCTTCACCAGAATTAACTCCACCAAATTCTCCATCAAGTCCAATCATAATTCTTGACTCTCCCACTCCCTCACCAAAAGACAATTCAGCCGACCACAGCAAGACTGTCATTGATTTAACAGTCCTTGAACGCCTTGCTGCAATAACCAAGAAAACTGCCATCCCAAAACCAAAACATCCAGATGTTGGTTCCAACATATTGAACTTTGAAACAAAAGTACAAAAGTGGATCACTTCTTTGAAATAAGCAAGTCTGGAACTGGTTGATCCTGCTGCATCAGACTACCTATGGACAAAGTTCAGAAGATGGGTATGCTCTGAAACCTTTAAGCTGCAAGAACAGAGCTATGGACAAGCTCAACAGAACTTCAACAATCTGCTGAAGGAAATTGAAGGTCCAGTTATGAGCAAGCTGCTTAAGGAAGAAGTACTCCCGCTGGACATTGCCCCTTGGTCTGATCATCGTCAACCAGAGTCAGAAGAATAGATGATTCCAGCTGAAGAACAGGTTCAAGAAGAAGATATAACAGAAAGCTCTGAGAAGCATCCTGTTTCTGAAGATCCTCAAGCTTCCTCTCTTGACAGGCAGACTCTGGAAGATATGAAAAGATCTGATATGCTGATGAATGAAAGAATGGATAAGCAGGACACCAAAATTGATGCAATAGCCAGCATGTTATCTCAGCAACAGGAAACCAGCACCCAAATCAAGAGCATGTTGGAAGCTTTGTTCACACGACTTCCTCCTCCTTCTTAGAATTTCCTTGTTGTTTTTATAACTTGTTTATCTGTAATATTTTTACATGTTCTGAACTTATCATTGCTTCTGTTTTTAATATAAACGCATTTAAGCTCTGATCATTTTAGCTCTGATTATCTGTGCTTTTTGATAACTGACAAAAAGGGGGAGAAAGAATGATATTTTTCAATAACGGATTACTGAGACATAAGTCCCAAACATTCTGATCTATTTAATTTTCTTCTCTTCTGAAAAGCTTACAGGTACAAAACTCTGATGAATTTGATGAACTCTGATACAGTAAAGTTCTGATGCTCAAAGTCTCATGGAATTAAAGGGAAGTAATCAACTCAGGGGGAGTTTTCTCTTCTTAGCTCTGATATCTTTTATTCCTTATCTTTAATCTCTGATACCTTTTATTCTTTTTTTTAATTGAAAAAATCTGGTTTTTGTCATCATCAAAAAGGGGGAGATTGTTAGAACATAGTTTGATTCTACAACCCTCAATTAGAGTTTTGATGATAACAAAATACAAGAATAAATAAATTGTAAAATTTATATATAAGACATATATGCTACTTAAAATTATGTTGTGTATTTACAGAAACTCTGATGGAATCAGCATCAGAAGATCAGTATCAACATCAACATCAGAAGATATGTCAGCATCAGAAGATCAATAACATGTGCTACACGCAGAAGTTACCAGATCATACGCTGAAGCCTGATGACCAAAATCTGCGCATAAAATACTCTGACTCTGATAAAGATCCTTACCAAGTCATCAACACTCAGAAGCGTCAGAATAAGTTAAAGCCAAGAACACTCTGATTACCATAAGCAGAGAACACTCTGAAGCGTTACTAAGCATTCAAGACAGATTAATTACCAACGGCTTTATTCCAAGACAAGATCTTCTCAAAAAGGAAAGAACGTTATTATCATTGAAAGTGATTTATGGACAACAACGTATCTTTGCCTTGGCTATATAAACAAGTCAGTGTGAGAAAAGAAAAGGTTAATAATCTTCACGGATATACACGCCTACGAAAACGCACGTACTCATACATTTTGCTAAGCCTTCAAACCACGCCCACTCAAAAGCATTAGCAATTCCGTTTTTATTCTAAGCTTAAAATTGTGTATTATCACAGTTGTGATATATAGTTTTGTTAGAAAACATTAACACACAATATTGTTCTATTATCTGTAAAGAGATTTCCTTGAGATAAACCGGGTTGTGGTTATACTAAAGAAGGCTTTAACAGTTGTTAAAGTGATTGTTGTAATCCTATTGAATATAGTGGATTAAGACCTCGTTGGAGAGAGGCGAAATCACCTTGACGGATGGACTGGAGTAGTTTGAGATCAAACGAACCAGGATAAAAATGCAGTGTTGTTTAAAATTTTGATTCAAGTTTTACAATTCAATCCCCCTTCTTGTGTTTTTCACATCTTCACTAGTTTCTATCACTCTCCTTATAACATATACACTACTAATTAGTTGAAATTCTCTTTTTCGTGTCCGTGTCGGTATCACATACTTGCTCCAACACTTGTGATTACATTTAATTTATTCATCTATTATCGGTGTCACCGTGTCAATGTGGAGGTTATTTTCGGAGTGTCAGTGCTTCATAGTGAGCTAACTACTTTTAAGGTGCAGCCAACTCCAATTCACTACATGATCAAAATTGCATACTCCAACATATATTTCAAAATTGAAGAATAAAAAGCGATAAACCTTGACAGAGACCTTAAATCAAACAAGTTGAAAACAATTTCATTATATAGCAACACCAATTTCCAATATCAAGCTCCTAAAGAACCTAATATATGGATTCTTCATAAACCTCATACATCTAAAATTAAAGTGAAATCAAAAATAATAATTTACCTCAAAAATAGTCCAGAGCAGAGATATCACCAACAATCGAAACCGAAATGAAATTGAGTCAGTGAAAAACAAGAAGAAATTGAAATCAAAATCGAAGATGAAAGTGAGTATAAAGTAGAGATGTTTTGTGAAATTGATTTGGGATTTAGGATTCACCAAATTTGAATATGAATGTTATAATAGATTTTTTTTAATCAGATTTAATAAAACATTTTTTTAAATTGAAAATTGTAAAAAGAAGTTATAACAATTTGAACCGATTTTTAGATTCAATTAGATTAACTGAATTAGTTAAAATAAAAAATTCAATTTATTAACTATTTAAATAATTTAAATTTTTTATAGTTGAATTCAATTCAGATTAAATATTTAGCCCAATTAACCAAAATTTTGAACACTCCTAATTTTGTTCACTCCAGAATATTCACCACCACCACTTTCTACTTTTAACATTAAATTTTCTTAAAAATGATTTGTTTTTTCTACTTAATACACCAATTATCTTTTTACGATCCCAAAAATTCTTCACCGTACCGAATAATTGTTTTTCCAATAGTATCGCTAACCGCCTCACTAGACTCAAAAAGAAAAAGCCCATCAACCCAACCCAACCAAATCATCACAATATAAAAGTCTCGAGTTTTATACCTCACTCAAAGAACCAAACTGCATAGTAAATTATTTCATTGCATTGCATTCTTCTGAAAAATGACGTTTAACGGTGGAGTTAAGTCATTTCCCGTCGTCTATTGCGACGGTGAAAGAGAATTCGATCTCGGAATTCTCACGGTGGACCCGACCATGAATATCAAGAATATTCTCTCCGTTCTCAGTCATAAGATTGGGATTTCGTCACACCAGTTTTCTGTTTTCATAGCCGATAAAAACAGTAACCGGAAAATTCCTGTCACTGCTAAGATCAACCTCCCCACCGTGTCTCATGACGGTGGCGCTGAGTATGTTTATGTTAAGCGGTCAAGACGCTCTAAGAAGTCTTTGATGAAGAACAGAAACCTATCCGAGAAACTCATGCATCTCCGTCGGGACGGTTCACAGTTGGCGTATGCGGTGGCGCCTTCGCTTTTTAAACGAGTTGAAATGGAGAAAATGATATGGAATTTATACAAGGAAAGAGATGCGGCGTTCTTGATGAGTTTGGAAGATACGGTTGAGTGTTGGAGGAGGGGAGCGCCGGTGGGAAACGGCGGTGGAAGTGGATGTGCTGTGTGTAAAGAGTACGTTTGATGGCGGAAATTGATAAGACTGATGCCGATTTTCATCTGTGTATACGCGACGAGGTGGTTGTAGGGTTTAGGACGAGGGCCGGACCGGTTTCCCGATCGGTGAGGAGTTCCGATAAGGTCGGTTCCGGCGAGAGTGGTGGCTGATTTGTGGAGTGGCCTATCTTTATATATAGTGATGAAGGAGGAAAATTTGCATAGAAAATTTAGGGAAATGGTCGTGTACGGTTTGGTATACGATAAGCAAACATATCCATATATAGAACATGGTTAATCATTCAATTAATTTATCCTCTTTTATTTAATGGATATCCTTCAATGTTACGGGAAAATTAAATGAATTGAATATAAGTGAAAAAACTAAATTTGTTAATTAAATAAGTTAAATTTAAATTTAAATTATATATAGTTTGACATATTATGTTCATGAATCAACTCATTATATATAAAAAGGATTATATTATTTTTAAAATTAGATTTAAATATCTACTCTAAATCTTAACTCTATATTTTCTTTTAATCTAGTAATTTTAATTGATAATTTATATTTTTGAATTAACAAAAATATTTTTAAAAATAATTATATAAATAAAATCAACATCATATAAATTATATAATTTTTGAATTAATAGATTTTTGAAATAAAATTAAATTTCAATATGATAACTTTTATTTTATTTCAATATGATAAATTATATATAAAAAAATAGATTTAAAAAATGATTTTTAAATGTGTGAAGCAAGCGAGCTGAATCTAACGAATTGAATTAAGTTATTCGTGAACTTATAACGAGTTGGATTTGAGTTTAAAAAAAGTTCGAGTCAAACTCAAACTTGTAATTGAACCGATCCAATTCTTAACGAGTCGAGCATAACTGAGGCAAGTTCGAACGACTCGACTCATTTACAGTCCTAAATATAACTAATGTTAAGTTAATTATCCTTTTAACTTTTCTATGTGGAGTACATGTAGTTTTTTTTATGTATTTGGTAATTAATGTTATTGATGTAAGTTCGGAGTGCGTCTAAGAGGGGGTGGATTTGGACTTGTTGGAATAACTTTTCCGGGTAATTCAAATTTGATTGTTTGATGATTATATGTTGATTTCTACATGTATGAACACCGACACTGACATGTCGACACCGTTAATTGAATTGCTTTATTTACATGATTGTTTTGTTTGTAGAAGTTGAGTTGTTTTATTTACATGATTGTTTTGTCTTTATAAGTTGGGTTGCTTCTCTGTAATGATATACTAAATTAACAACATATATTTATTATTAAATTAGATTCTTCTGACTAATGGTTTAGTGAATCAGTGTAATTTATGTTGTTTGCGAAGCTAATATGACGAACCATGAAGAGGCAAAGTCTCACCCTAAACTCAATGAATGAATACTTTCTTCCATGTCGAAGAGAACCGTTGTTGCTCACCTCTGACATGATGTAGAGATAAGTACAAAACTACTCTTGAGGATTTATTTCAGATCACTTTTAGTTATGATGAATTTGTGCTCGAAAAAATATATTGTATTTTGTTTGTTTTCTCCTCAAAATGTAGAAGAAATTGTTGTGTTGTTTCAATAAATAGTTATTAACATTGATAAACATAAATAGATGTAGGATCGTTTTGGTGAAAACTCATAAATGGTGATATAAATGCAGGATGAATCGGCTACTACCGATTTAATAAACAAGCTGCAACATAAAGTTGCTGCTGATTTGATAAAAAAGATGCATCACGCCTTTGTGTAGATTGTGGAAGCCTTGAGCTCAAATTATTTAGGTCATGATTTTTTGCCGGTAATCTATATAGAATCTTCACCCATTTCTCACTATTATTAGTCTACGTGATAGATGCATTATTTGTTGTATAGATGCGATATTTGGATCCATATTCATTCCTCTGATGAATTGGGTCATACCATTGAGCAGACACAGACAAATTCTTTGGAGTATGAGAAAGCAATAGAAGATGCATAACCAACTAAGCATCTTATTTTTTTACTGTTTAATAATCGCAAAAGGCTTCCTTGGAGACATGTATTGGTTTTGGCTTAAGTTCTTTGGTGTTTATTCTATGTTGCATAATAGCTAAAACACATAACATTAATATTGTCTGAACATTGTTTTCCACTGCACAAATCTCTGCTAACAAGGGGAAATGGATTGTCAGTTCTACATGAAAACTGAAAGGTAAATATTGATGGTTCTTTTTCTTGAAGTGGGAATAGTAAAGTTTGTTTAATTGGTTAATGGTTAAGTTGTTAATAGAAGGCATATTACAAAGTTTCTAACAGATAGTGTAAAATATCAGTTTATTCTAATTTTGGTATGTTACAGAGTTTCTGCACCGCTATAGTCATTATTTGACAACACTTTGTAGTAAATAAAATCACAGAATATCGTGATTGTTCAAATTCTGCAATGCTATAGCACCATTATAACTGATATTTAACAACATTACATTATTAGTCACTTGATGTAGTCTAAAACTAACTTCCACCTAGCAGCAGTCCAATTGAGTACAAAGAAATATATAGGGCCAGATAATAGACTTTAACTTGATTCTCATCCTAAGAAATTTATAATGATTTTGGGTATGATTTGGAAATTTAAGATCACATTGATGGTAGTGCATATTAATGGTTTTTTTCCTGATTTAGATCATGTAATGGTTTAAGTAGCCTGAAAGCAGTGAAGAAAACAATTTTCAAATTTAATATGTTGCAAACAACTTTTATAAGTGATTCTATCATAAAGGTACAAAATATATTTTAAAGTGTTGTTCTACTCTTAAGGTAAAAGATAGATTCAAAATATAAGTTTTCTATCCCCTGACATGAAAATATAGGGTTGGGTAACTGTATAATTTCCTTTTGAGAATAGTTAATACTTACAAATAAATTTTTATATTTGTGCTAAGCATAATGTTTTAGTTATAAGATTTCTCTGCTTTTTTTATTAAAAAAAAAGGAGAATTAAATTCAAACAATATGTCAACTTTATGACAGATTTGAAAAGGGTTTCCTCTACGCTTGCAAAAATTTGTTGTATTTATGTTATTTTACTTTCTTTTTTTATCATCAAAATTATAGTTATTTGTAAATCGCATAGAACCATAATCAACAACATTGAAAGAGGATTAAACAAATTTCAAAATAAGTTAAATAGAAGATTGAAAATTTAATTAGTTTAGGAAGGTTTGTATTTGTTTTGGAACAATTTTAAATTGGTTTTGATTTTGTTCCAATCTTAAGAATCATGTTAATCAATTAGTTTAGGAAGATTTGCATTTTTTTTGGAACAATTTTAAATTAGTTTTGATTTTGTTTCAATCTTAAGTCTTTTGTTTTTGTATGTGTTACAAGTTGTAACTTATTATTGTCATAACGTGTTCTCCAATTTGGTTAGAAAATTGTCCTATTTAAACAAGTTAGAATTAAGTAAGAAACTTATGTTAATAAATTAGTTTAGGAAGATTTGCATTTGTTTAGGAACTACTTTAAATTGGTTTTGATTTTCTTCCAATTTAAGGATTATGATTAGTTCAATTTAAATGACATTAGGGGATCTTATGTAACTAATTTTGTGATAAAAATTTGATTTTGTTTTCAACTCTGTGTTTGAATACTTATCTTTATTTAAAATGATGGATAAAAAAGCACTATATGGTATCAAAGTTGAAGTAACACATCGTGGCAGTATTTTTCACATGTGAAATTTCTGATATTCAGATCTCAGATGTCCTAAGAGGTGTCGGAATACTGAATCTGAATTAAACACACAATGAACAAGTGTAACTATAAACAGTGCAGTAAGTAAATAACACACATAATTGTTAACCCAGTTTGGTGAATCGACACACCTATTCTAGGGGCTGCCAAGCCGAAAAGGAAATCCTCTAAATAGTATCAATTCGAAGCTAAACTCCCACGTTTACAACTTCTCACTTAATCACTATTCATGTTATACTTCTACCTAAGACTCACCTAGATATGAGACACCTCCCACTTCCTTGACCGTCACAAACAGTGACAAAATCACAACTCAACGAATTAGAGCACAAATTTCAGACACACAATCACTCTATACTTAGAAGCTTAAGAGTGATTGACAAAAAATAAGGAGACACCCTTCAACAAACATAATTTGCTCTTGCTTAACAGCTTATAAGTATAGAGTGATTGTGAAGTTGCATGGTGTTTCTTTGTGTATTGTGTCGGACAGGGATTCGAGGTTTACTTTTGATTTCTGGAAAAGTTTGCAAGAGGCGTTGGGATCTAAGTTGAGGTTGAGTTCGACGTATCATCCTCAGACGGATGGTCAGACCGAGAGGACTATTCAGTCATTGGAGGATCTGTTGAGAGCATGTGTTCTTGAGCAGGGAGGTTCGTGGGATACTTATCTTCCGTTGATTGAGTTCACTTACAACAACAATTACCATTCTAGTATTGGGATGGCACTTTTCAAGACGTTGTATGGTCGGAGGTGTAGGAATCCTTAGTGTTGGCACGAATCTGGTGAAAGTGTAGTACTTGGACCTGAACTTGTTCGTGAGACTACTGAGAAGGTGAAGTTGATTCGAGAAAAGATGAAAGCTTCACAAAGTAGACAAAAGAGTTATCATGACAAGAGAAGGAAATATTTGGAATTCCAAGCTGGTGATCATGTGTTTTTTAGAGTCACACCTGTGACTGGTGTTGGGCGAGCTCTGAAGTCTAAGAAGCTCACTCCTTGTTTTACTGGTCCGTATCAGATTTTGAAAAGAGTGGGAAATGTTGCTTATAGAGTGGCTTTACCGCCTAATCTTTTGAATCTGCATGATGTGTTTCATGTGTCACAACTCTGGAAGTATATTCTCGATCTGTCTCATGTGATTCAGATGAACGATGTGCAAGTACGGGATAATCTCACGATGGAGACGATGCCTGTGAGAATCGCATATCGCGAGATGAAGATTCTAAGGGGAAAAGAGATTGCATTGGTGAAGGTTCTCTGGT